CCAGAACTATTTAGTACAGTGCTGTTTTTGTATTTTATATTACCTAAAGTTTTCAATAATGGTAGAAACGGAATTCCCAAAGATTTTCAGTGGAAGGAAAATTTAGCATAGTTACCGGAATCTATACTCGCTCGGTATACAATATTGTCAATCATACATTGACCGTTTAAGGGATAGATCATATTTTTCTGCAGTGGTATTTGTTTTTAGAAGAAATTTGTTACGTTGAAAATATATTTCGTTTAATGCAATGTTTTTTTTTTATGTTGGGATATGGATTTGTCTATATTATTAACGAGGCTATATCTGATAACATTATTTTTGTTTTGTTTGGTGATGGTGAATGGTTAAAACGCTTATGGATTAAATTTAGGATAATTGTTCCGATATTAGTTTGAAAGTTACGATTAAAAGGTGGATTAAACCACAGGATCTTATGCTTACGGTGTTTCTCTTTATGTTTAGCTTCTGTGTTTTTTCTAAATACTCTGAATTTAATTTATGGTTCCTTAATTCTAAAGCCTTTATACATTTAATTATATTATAACCAAATATTTTCTTATCGCTGAAATTGGTAGATAATCTAACTTGGACTGATTCATGGAAATTGTCTAATTCTTGATTTTTCAACAAGACATAAGTTATATTTATTGTCTTATATAGTGCAGAAAAGTGTTTGAAATTTGTATTTTACTTGGCCTTTAACAAGTTGGCATCTATTTGTAAAACTTTCCTTATCTATAACAAGCAAATATATGAATGGAATCTTCTAAAATTTTTGTTTCAAAGATTTCAAGTAGAGAATATATCTTTGCGAAGAAATAGAGAGCCGTCGAAGCCTGATACTACTTAATATCAGAAAGAAACAGTTGAAATTATGATAAGGTAAAAAGCCTTAGAAAAACTGACACTCACAGGATATGTTGCACTGACAGAAGAAAGTAGTAAATAGCCTACGTAACGAGGTTGTGTAAACAGTTGGCAGAACAAGGATTAGGATAGATAGTAGAACTTAAAAAATTACTGAGCTAAAAAAGGACTGTAATTTGGGGAAGACCATGATTGCATACGCCCTGAAGGGGGGGGGGTACGGCACAAAAGACAAAATCACGTTCTGCCGGAGTAGGAGGTCAGGTAAATAACGCTTATATTTGGTACTATTGTTAATTTCAAAATGCCTTGATGTTTTCCAAATGTAGCCAAGAGGACGCTGATACGAAATTTTACAGTAATGGCTCGGTCGTACGGTTAATTTTGTTTATAACGAAAAACTACACGGCCCCCGTTGTTGAATTTCTATATCAGATTGATTCTGAGCTCGTCGATGGGTTCCTTCTGGGTCTGACGATAATCGGAGGATTCGACTTTTTGAGGAGCGTAGGACCACTTCTCAATTGCTGTAGTTCCCAGGTCCATCCTAACCCAGGGTGGTAGCACCTGTTTGGGTCCCAGCTATGAGTAAACAGTGAACCCATAAACTAAAACAACACATTTTTATAATAAAACGAGCAACAATACATTTTTATAGATAACAATCAATACAACACTAAAATATAAAAATGATTTTTTGTACTAAAAAAATACAATTTATACACTACAATATATATATTTAATCATACCTTTATTCTGAGGGTAATAAATTCCGTAGAAAATCTTTAGATTTCGGCATTATTTAAACCATAGGGGCTGATATACCGCCAAACAAATTCAACCAACTAAACAACAGGCACTAAAGAATTCTTTCGTGATATTAGTCCATATAATATCCTATTTTTTTTTTAAAAAATCAAACCGTATTCCAAAATATAACTTCAACAAAACTACAACATAAAATACACGTATCAAGACCTCTATGAATTATGACCACACAAACATGAATATGTACAAAAGCTGCGTATCATCTACCATGTATTCAACTGTGAAAGCAGAATACGATATGTTATATATTTATTAATTCAAATCTCTTAAGAAAATTAAATTTCGGCATTAAATGACCCATAAGGATGTTGACATACCGTTAAAAAAACAAAAAAATCAATCAATCTATCGTCGAAGCTTATTTATTTCATTTTATTTCATTTCACAAAATGTCCTTTGACAGCGTTTCTTTCCAGACGCCATTTCGCAAAGCACTTTTTAAATAGCCAGGTGACACAGTTAACCCTTAGGGGTAGGGCTAATGTAAGATTTCACAAAGCCGTTCCCTTGTTAGGCAGTCCAGCGTCCAAATCTCATTCAACTCCATTTTCAAAAGCAGAGGTGGGTTTTAGTCCTCTACACCTTGCAAATTTGTAAGCAAAGTTTACCGAATTCAGAACAGAAAATGAAGGAAAGCGAGAAGCAAAAAAAAAAAAGAAAGAAAAAAAAAAGAAAAAAAATGAGAGAGAAAGAGATCGTCGGAGATGTGGGAGAATGGCTGTGACGGACAATGTAAAAATGAGCAGGTGCAGTTTGGTAGATAGGACGAAAGAGGTAATTTTCTGGAGGTAACAACGAAATC